AGACATTATTTAATCAGAGAAGTTTTTAATTGCTTTTATGAATATATATTAAAGACGATATTGATTGAAGAAAAAAGATTCTTCGATGATAAATGATGTTTACGAGATCTGTTTTCATTTTTTTCAATGTTAAACTGAATAATTTGTAAAGTTATAAATTTTTCAAAATTCAATTTCTCTTAGAGACTATTGTTATTAAGTAAAATTATATTAATCATATAGTGTAAAGCGTATTACAAGCTGACGACCCTGAATATTTTAAAAAGACTTTTCAATTTGATTTTATATGTGTATATACGTTTCAAACTATGGATGTTCAAATATGACACTATCATTAAAAGGTCACGCGTTTTAAGGGTTATCCCCCTCACAGAAGAACACTCTCATATAAACTTTATATTATTATAAATGTTATCGTCTGCTTCACCGTACTTAATTATGAATACGTTCGGTGGTGATTCGGCTGTCAATACATCGATTAACACGTCAGAACAAGAAGACTCCGTGGTAAAGAAAAGCTTTTATACAACATTTTATCCCATAAGTACATACTATTTGTTTCAAGTCAGATTAATTTGACTTTAAATTTGATAATTTTCCTCAAATAGTGTTTCAGAAATATGTATTTTGTTTTTTGCTTGAGTTTTAAAACAGAAAATTAACCTTTGTTTACAAATGTGTCAAAATATCTGATCTTATCGATTTGACTGAAAAAAATCGATTCGGGTCAATATAATTTCCGTTTCAAATATATCGCAGATTATTTTGCTTACTGGAAATAGTAAATTTTAAATCCTTTAGTTTTCAGTTAAATCTAAAATGAAAGCTTCAGCAAGCTTTATCATTTTAAACCTTTCCTATACCGCATTAGTGAGCATAACTACTATTCTTCTCTTATAGGATTATGAACACTGGCATTACTAAAAATAAAATAAAATAAACATCAGATGTTTGGATTTAGTAGCACCAAAAACATTTGTGACGCGCGTAATACCAGAGAAATGAAAACACACTATGACAGTAAGTTAATTCCGTTATCATCGGTACCATTGAAAGACCACTCCAAACAAGGAAAATGCAATTACGACCGGTTAACCATGTTCACCATAGTCTATGAATATAGAATACAGCGCAGTACGTAATCTGTTCAATAAAACATCGTTAAAGATTAATACTCACAAGTCAGATACTCTACTGAATCCGCCTATATCGCCAATACCACCAGCAGCTGTTCTGTAATTCTTTAGTCTTCGATATCAAAGGCTGCCAGTGAATTTTCGGAAAAAAACATGGCCGCCTTTATACACGTCGCATTGAATATTTTGAGCCTTCTGATTGGTTAACCATTCTATTGGTGAACTATAAAATGAGTCAGCTCATGGTAGCCAAAAATTCCAACACGACCTCTCATTCTTCAACAGAAAATAGTCAAAGAGCACTACCCTATCCACATACATATGGCAACTAAAAGACAGAAAGATTACACCAAAAATAAGCTGGGAAATAATGAAAAACGCACCTGCCGTCGTCAATTGCAAGAACAGAGAATAAATGAACTTTAACAATAAGACGAGTATAACATGCAAATTAAGAACTGGAGATTCCAGAATCAACTACAACAATTTCAATATCTAGGCTGTGTTTTTATAAAGGATGGAAAGTATGATACAGATATCCGAAGGTGCATCGGAATTACGAAAGTGACCTTCCAAAAGCTAAGGATAGTATTAAGAGATAGGAATTTTTTTTTAGAAACAAGAAAAATGTGTTTAACTCTTACGTAATCTCAGCTCAGCTATGTAACAGTAGTTGCTGTACAATCTCCCCAAAGATATAGAAGAGACGTGAAGCAACAGAAATGTGGTTCTACAGAAGGATGCTGAGAATACTATGAACCGAAAATATGAGCAACGATGTATTTTTAGAGAAAATGGAAACAAAATGGACACGTTTTAAGATTAGAAAACGACAGTTGAAATTTCTAGGGCATATAATGAGGAAAGAGAGCTTGGAAAATTTGATACTCACAGGCCAGATTGCCGGCAAAGAGGGATAGAGCAAACCAACACATAACCTACCTAGCAAGTTTTAGTGAAAATAGAAACAAACAAGTAGGACACTTATACTTACTATTAGGAAGAGAGAGATGAAATTTTTAGGCCACAAAGATGAGGAAAGAGAGGTGGATGGATTGAAGACAAGAGGGGAGTTACAACGTTTAAACTACCGAGAACAAATTTGACTGGAAAGCACTTGGCCTGAAGAGAGATAGACAAGCGAAAAGTGATATCTAATCTCCCAATTTTCTCACAGATAAAAAAATGATTTGATGAGTTTGTAACAAGGAAAACTGGGGATACCATTGACAGAGTATGTGAGCAATAAGGAAGGTTTAAGGAACTTTACATTGAATAATTAGAAAGAGACACATAATGAGAAAATGGTGCGTTTATAATTTAACACTCCCAGGAAATATCTATCCGTTTTAGCTGCAAAATAAGACCTAGCTGTAAATTACTCCCGAGTAGTTTGTAACACGCTTCTTTATTATCTCCCAGTTGCGTCTCTGTCTTTGAATAGAGTGCGTTTCGGGGCGGCTCTGTCAAGGGAAAGAGTCACAACTGAGGAAAATTATACTGCGAGGTGCCCGGCTCTGGGAAAACAGCTGCCCGAGGTAGCGCCCTCTCATTGTACCAGAGAGAGGGACCTGTGCTCTCACCGAGGCCAGCGCAACCGACGGTTGAGGACGCTCGGGCAATTTTCGTTTCTAACCCGGGTGTACGTGCTAGGGCTCCCCACATTAAACCGACCTTTTTTGACAACCTGACCTCATGGGTTGGGGAGTAAATATAAATAAGACATATAATCTAGAACTGCGATTACGTCTGTAAAATGTTGTGTTGTGGGAAAGGGCCGGAAACCGAGTTACCAGGTTAGCACCAATAATTTTACCGAAATGGTTAGATTAAATTATTTTTTCTAAATAAGTTTTTCTTTTTCCGTCTATCTGAATTATTTCTATTGTCTCTCATTCCTTTTCTTTCACAAAGTATTACTTTTTATACTTTTTCCATCATGAGATCATTTCGGTTCGTTATTTTATATTCATATTCTTGTTAGTGATTGAACTTGAAAAAATGTACACACGTACGTATCTAGAGATATGGATGAAGAATTTTGGCGCCAACTTCTTTACAATTCATTTGTCTACTACCCATTGTTCTTTGAAAGTGAACTGCCATTCCTAAGACTTTCTCGAACACCGACTAAATTTAACTGCTAGATGGAAGAGTATATTTTATTTAATTTTATTCCAACCTGATTTGCTATTATTTGATTCGGATTTTTTTTTTTCATTTTGTAATAAAAGTCACGTAAGTCTATAGATATTGGTGATCGTATATTTAGACAATCGATTTTTTTCCATGAAGTGGCGACTATGTAAATAATTATTATTTCACGTACGTGTAGTTAAAAAGAATTTGGGAAACGTAAATACTGCTACTCGATCTAACGGACATAACGCATTGAAACTCCGTTTCACGCACGAAGTTAAGCAACGTCGAGCCGGGTCAGGACCTAGATGAGTAACCGCTTGCGAATAACAAGTGATGTAAATATGGATGGTTTAATGGATAATGACTCCCGGATGATAATTCAGAGAACCAGGCTCGACATCCAGGCTTTGTTCGTTATACTCGCTTTGTTTGCAAATACTTTGGGCCTATCATGAATCAAACATTTATATGATAACCCAAGCGCCTCACAACCGCGCCTACCAACATCCACTGGGCGAGCCCAGTGGAATAATGGACCATTCCTCCCCGTGAATCTGAGGAAAAATCTATATTCAACAAAGGACCTTCACAGATCCTCGAATCAGTGCTTATAGTGAATATTACCAGTTAAACATTACCTTCGTATGGAGGGAAAGAAACATATTTTTTTTTGTTAAAAACTATTACGTTATCATAGGACATCCAAAATTGATGGATAAATTATGTTAGTGAGATAAACGTACACATACAGAAAAATAGGTGCAACGTTTATTCTTATATATATATATATATATATATATATATATATATATATATATATATATATATATATATATATATTAGGTTGGTACCAAAAATAATGACGTAATAATGTCGTTTTTTTGGACGTATTTTTTAACGTCAAAAACGACATTATTACGTCATTATTTTGCACCAATTTATATATATATATATATATATATATATATATATATATATATATATATATATATAGTTTAGTTTATTTTTTTGTTTTACGGCATATTAACCTCAATGGGTTATTTAATGCCGACAATTTTTTTTTTATTGCTGGTAATATTTTGTGTTGTCAAAGATTTGTTTCTGGTAATATTTTTCCTTCAAAATTGTATTGCTGGTAATAATTTTTTTCATAAAAGTATTGCTGGTAATAGTAAACTATTTGTCCCTTACTGGGACCGCAACAGGTGCTACCACCTCGGGACAGGGTGGACCTGGGAACACCAGCATTTAAGAGGTGGTTCCACGCTCCTCAATACCTCCTGATCAGAGGTCTTGCTGTTGGACGTAGTTTAGCATCTTACCCAGGACGGATATATCAAAGGAAAAGCTCAATACATTAAAGAGTTTGGTAATAATTTATTTCAGGCAGACAATTACCTCATCAAATTGGAGTCATAAAATGGTTTAAATCATCCCGAGGATTTAAACCATTTTATAACTCCGGTTCAATGATGCAGTATATTAACATAATTAAAAATGAATACAATACATTATCAAATACTATAAACATATCGTAATAAAATGCATTTCAGCTATAAACAGGAGGAGAAAAACATCGGAAAAACTCATAAACACTAATATATCTCACACTGATTCAAGTAAAAAATAAAATTGATTATATACTATACTAAATTTAATACGACTAGCCAAGGTGTCCAAAACAATTCTTCTCCGCCCACTAGCATCTTGCAAAAGACTAAC